CCCCCTCTCCCCTCCTGCTGCTCCCACTGCTCCTGCTGCTCCCGCTGTGGGCTCCTGCTGCTGCTGCTCCCGCTTTTCCCACTGCTCTTGCTGCTCCCACTGCTCCCACTGCTCCCGCCTGACCCTGGCTCCCTCCTTCAGCACCTGGGGCTCAGCTTGGAACCTGCCCAGGCTTTCCTGGCCCAGCTGCTCTCTCAGCCAGATAAGCTTTCCAAAAGCTTTTCACGGCCCGGCCCGTGGATGAGTGCCTCTGGACCACGTCAGCTTGACATTTTATTTTTATTCTCCTTGGAGTCCTTGATGCACCCCCTCGTTTCCCATCAACAGGGAGGGTGCCAGGAACAGGCGCTGTTTCTAGCTGGTGCCTGACTAGAGTGCAGGTCCAGAGGCCCCTCTCACCGTCCTCCAGGGAGAAACTGGGTGGCTCTCCTGCTGGAGACACACCCAGGTAGGGATAGGGGTTGTGGGAACAGGCAGGGACAGACACACTGAGCCACCCAAGGAAGAGGAAGCCAGGGTGAGGCTCAGTCCGTCCCCAGACCCCCCACCTCCACAAGATGATTTGTGGCAACTGAGATTTACATCCACCTCAAAACAATCCCCTCCTCTGCCACCAGGCGGACTTTTTTCATGGTTAGAATTTGGAAACTGCTAATTATCAAAAGGTTGTGAAGGGATGGGACTGGCAGATGGCATGGTTGTTAAGGGTGCTGGACACCCACCTGACTGACCGTGGTTCAAGTCCTGGACCGGGCGGCTTGCTTTCTCACTTTCCCTCCCTCTCTTGCGCACTCTCTTGCTCTGTCCCTCTCTGGTCAAAATTTAAATAAATAAATAAAGTTAAATGATTTTTAATTCTTTTTTTTAAAAAAAAAGGATTGTATGGCTGCCTGGAACTAAGAAGTGCTCAGTGCTTGGCCGGATTCTGTATGCTGGCCTGACCACTGTGGCTCAGAGGAGACTTTAGCACCCTGCAGTGCTGGAGGCCATATGGTGACCACAGTTCAGACCTCTAACTGGACACACACAGGCACCCTGGATGCCGGGGAGCTAGAGGGCTGGGGAAGGGGTCAGAGCAGGATGAGGCCCAGGACACTTTGCCTCTCTTGCTTTCTCGTTCTCACCTCCTATCATAAAAACAAAGAAAAAAAAATTTCTTATAGTGTCTTCTGTCCCAGAAAAGGCATTTCTGATAAACCCACTTCTTTCAGCTGCCTGAGAGAAGCCGTGGGCCCCCGCAGGCCCAGGACCAGGGTGGGTCTGCCTCCTTTGTGAGGACAGAGACTGGGGCTTCGGGATGGTGGCTGAGGCTGTGGTCTGCCCTTGGCTGGTTTTTTTAGAATTATTTATTGGGGCCAGCAGGTGGTGTAGCATTTATGTCGTTGGACTCCCCCATGTCTGACTGCTGTTCAGTTCCCATACCCAGTGGCTTGAAAATCACGCTGAGGGCATGTTTGTGTGTGTCCAAGATCCATGGAGAAGGGATTATGGCGTGATCATCCCCCCCGGGGGGTGGTTTCTTCCTTTCCTTCTCACTGTGTCTGTCTCTTTCTCCCCAGTGAGTGTATATGCCCTAAGACAAAAACTTCTAAAAAAAAACAAATAAAAATTTTAGAAGGAATTATTTAATTTCATTTATTATTATTTTTCAGTTTGACCAAAGAGAGTGAGAAAGCAAGCTTCCAGGTCCGAGACTCAAATTACAGTTGGCCATGTGGGAGTCCAGCACCTTAACCACCATGCCACCTGCCAGCCCCTGCCCATAGCTGTAATTGTGACAGCCCTGTCAAAACTCTTTTGTTGCCAGTTTCTGACCTGGCCAAGCATCACAGTTGAGTGCAAGCCACGGTGGTAATACCCCTCGAGGGTGTCCAAGAATGGGTAGGCTCCCTGGTCCTGGCACCAGGCCAGACAGGGCACCCTTCTGAGTTAGCCCCTCAGACTCCTACAGCAACCAGATAGCTCCAGGAGCCAGTCGGGGGAGGTGACCTGCCGCAACCATCTCTCCTCCCACAGGCCATAGAACCAAACTCTTGTCAGTCAGGGTCCAGCTTGTCTACAGAGTGTGGCCTCCTGGGAACTCCCCAGGGGCAGCCCCCTGATAGCAGTGGGAGAACCTCCCCTGCTAGAGAAGAGCTGTGTGTGTACGTCCCACCACAGTCATGGGCGCACTTCTCTGGTGGCTTGCCAGAGCCCTTAGGGCACCCAGAGGCTTCCTAAGTGACCTTTCATTTAAACCTCACCTCCACCCTGCATGACAGGAAATGCCACACCCATTTTATCGATGAAAAAACTGAGGCTCCTTGGGTTCGGAACTTCCCCACATTCCCCACAAGCAGTGACAAAGCAGGGATCAGCCTCGGGTCTGTATGACTGCAGATACAGCCATCTGGACCACAGCATCCTCATGCTCAGAATGTGGCTCTGTCCCTTTGTCCGCAGCCAGTCTGAGAGTCTTGATCAAATCCCCAACAATGTGGCCCACACAACCGAGGGCAAAATGGCCCGTGTATATTGGAAGGGCAAGCGTCGCAGCAAGGCCCGGAAGAAACGGAGGAAGAAGAGTTTGAAGCCCCCAGCTCTGTCAGGAGTGGCCTTGGCCAGACCCCTCCCCAGAACCCCCGAGCAGGAGAGCTGCGCCCTCCCAGTGCAGGTGAGACCGCACCCACTGCCAGACCTAGCTCGTGGGCCTTCGGAACAGCCCTGTGCCTCAGCCCTGCCCTGCATCCTAACACTTGTGTCTTCCCCCTCCAGGAGGACGAGTCTCCACCAGGCACCCCATATAACAAAAACAGCCCCCAGTTCACCAGGCATCTGAAGGAACCAGGCCTTGGCCAACTCTGCTTTGAGAAACTAGGCGAGGGCCTTCGGCCAGCACTGCCTCGATCAGAACTCCACAAACTCATCAGCCCCTTGCAATGTCTAAACCATGTGTGGAAACTCCACCACCCCCAGGACGTGGGACCCCTGCCCCTGCCTGCTCACCCTTTCCCTTACAGCAGACTGCCCCATCCCTTCCCCTTCCACCCGCTCCAGCCCCAGAAACCTCACCCCCTTGAGTCCTTCTTCCTGGGCAAGCTGGCCTGTGTAGACAGACAGCAACCCCTGCCTGGCCCACACCTGCACAAGCTGGCCTGTATAGACAGTCAGAAACCCCTGCCTGGCCCACACCTGGCGCCCAGCTGTCCATCTCGCAGCACCCGTGAGAAGTTTTCTGTGGAGGAATACCTGGTCCACGCTCTACAAGGCAGTGTGAGCTCAGGCCAGGCCCACAGCCTGGCCAGCCTGGCCAAGACCTGGTCAGCAGGGGGCTCCAGGCCCTGGGAGCCCAGCCCTGAAACAGAAGACAGCGAGGGGGTCCTGCTCACTGAGGTAACTAATCCCCACACCTGTCGGCCACCACCGGGGCAGGAGCTGAAGCTGGGAGATGGCGTGGGACTGCCAGGGCCAGAGAGGCATCTCTTAAACCCTGGCAGATCTGGGCAAGACAGCCCTCTCCCTGTCAGAACCACTTGGGATGTGGTCCCGAAGCAGAGAGCAGGACCGTACCTTCAGCCTCACTCACAGCCTTCCAGCCAACCTGGCTGTTACTGAGTGATGGCCGCGTCCTGTGTTACCCGAATAAGGCATACACAGAGACAGGGCAGGCAGGACAGACAGCAGCTTGACCCCCGCCCCCCGACACTGTGCAGGAGAGACGAGATCTCTGCCCTTTTTCTCGACCCCCTCTGTCCCTTTTCCTCAAGTTCTCTTACTGGATGACTTTGGAACGGTAAATGATTTTACCAGACTAATTTCTGACTTTTATACCGCTCTTTTTTTTTTTTTTTTTTTTTTTTTTTTTTTTAGCTTTTTTTGCTGTAGGGTGCGTGCACTTGCCAGAGAGAAGCAAAGAGGGAAAGTGAGAAGTCGCCCCCTAGAGGGAATAGCCACAGTGTAGTCCCTCCTCTTCCCTTCTCCTGTCGGGATTTTGGGCATGCACACACACCCATTGTATTTTTCAAGCCATCATGTCCGGGTCTTGAACCACAGAGTTGGCCTTGTAAGCTCCAGCGCCTTAACCACCACACCACCTGCTGGTCCTATCCTGCCCACTTTTTGTCTTTCTCCCTGACACCCCACGCTCACTCCTAATTGTTCCCCCTTCTACCTCTAGCTTCTGAGTTATGTCCTGCCAGTGTCGGGGTTGTTGGCAATTCCATTTCTGTCCCACCATCACGAGTCTGGGAGAGGCTTTTTTTCAGCTCAAGGATCAGCTGTTCTTAGGCAGCCCCAAAGCTCCCCTTTGCCTTCACCTTAGTCCTGTAAGCCCCTTCTGGGCCTGCCCCTTAGAGCCTGGCTGTGGGCCTGGCACAGCACTGGGACTGGCAGCTGGACAGCCCTCCCTGCTGTAGCCCTTCACCCCTCCGCCGCACTGACCACTGACTCGCCTCTCTCTCCTGCCAACCCCAGAAACTGAAGCCAGTGGATTATGAGTACCGAGAAGAAGTCCACTGGGCCACACACCAGCCCCGCCTGGGCAGAGGCTCCTTCGGAGAGGTGCACAGGATGGAGGACAAGCAGACGGGCTTCCAGTGTGCCGTCAAAAAGGTACGTCCTTGGGGTCAACAGGTGGCATGGTGGTTAAGGGTGCTGGACTCCTACATGGCCAACCGCAGTGTGAGTCCCAGACCTGGTGGCTTGCTTTCTCACTTTCCCTCACTCTCTTGCTCTTTCTTTCTCTGTCTCTTGCTCTGTCCGTCTCTGGTCAAATTAAAAAACAAGTAAATAAATAAAAATAAAATTAAATAATTATTTTAAAATTTAAAAAAAAAGGCACGCCCCCCCAAATGGTGTGCCAGGCCCTGGGAGCTAAGGCAACGAAGTCAGGCATGGCTACAGCCTCCCTTCTGCTCTCTGCGAGGACAGCGCCAGGGCGGCCATAGGTCTTGCTGGCTGCCCTGGGTCAGCTGGAGCTGGAGGGGAGCCGTGTACCCGTGTCCTGGCTGGTCACTGCTCCCGGCAGGTGAGGGCACTGCAGGAGCGAGTGCGGCCAGAGCCCTTAGGGCAGATCCACGCCTGGAGGGGGCAGCAGTAAGACACCCCCGAGAGGAGGCCGAGCACTTTGGGAGTCACATCTGCTTTGCGTCCAAGCTCTGGCTCCTGTTGGCCAGTGGGGCAAGTCCTGAGAGATGGACAAGGTGAGGAAGTGAGGCTTGGCAAGTGACTAAGGAACCAGGCTGGGAGGAACCAGGGTTCAGACCCAGGGGCGTCTGACAACAGTGTGGCCTGAGGTCACGCCACCTTCGAGGTTGGCTGTGAACTATGCTTCAGGAAAAAGGGAAAGA